GAGTGTCAATGGTCCATTTGAGAGATAGGTGGCGGTAATGCACTTATAAGTCTGCGATCCGCCATAAAGCAAGACGACGACGACGCCTCACACGCAGGCTGAAGAAGATGCGAACGCGCTCAGGACAGTTCGAACAGTTCCGACATTGCGTGAATCAGAGGTTAAAAAAACGATATAAATACATTTTTTTATGACGTTTTATGACTCTTAAAGCCGTGATTCCCATCCACTGATATTATAGAACTGACAGACTGCAACGGTTTGAGTTAAAAATCTCCGTTTGTGTTCTACTGAAGAAACAAAGTCACCTACATATTGGATGCCCTGGGGGTAAGCAGATAAACATCAAATTTAAATTTTTGGGTGAACTATCCCTTTAAGGTTAATGTCAGGCCTGTATGTTTCTAAGTGGGTGTATTATTTTGGAATGTGAGCGTAGAATACAAATGCGGAAACTCTGCCATTAACACACATACACACTCAGAGAGCAGTGCAGGTGGATATGAGAAACACCGTAAATCATATGAGTGGAAGACTCGCTTTAGTGGAGTTCCCCTGACAGACACTCACACAAACCCTGATGTGATTCAGACTGAATTAAGTCTGACATTAAACACGAGTTTTTCACAGAGTCCAGTTTTTCACATATCATCACATTTTTGTGACAGCACAAAATAATTATTGGATGCCTCCCAGAATTCTGGGTTTATTTTGTCAATTTACCTTAAGTAAATGCATCTAAAATGATTGTTTTTTTGTTTTTTTTATCATCGCCATATGAAGAACAGAGCAATTCACATCTGTTATGCAGGCATATGCATAATCCTAAACACATACCAAAATAAATGATCAAATAAAGATTAAGAATCAAAAATGCACAGACATGATGCATCTTAAATGAAACTATAAATTACTATTGATTTCAACACCTCTTGGCTTATGAATGAAAACATAATGGTCCACAGAGAGAAAAAAAAAAGTTAAAATACATTTTAATGTTTTTAATAAAATCTCTTAATCCCACTTAAGCTGCATTTATTTGACCAAAAATACAGTGAAAACAGCAATATAATTACAATTTACAACAGCTTACCATTTAGAATAACTTTCTATTTTAAAATATCTTAAACCGTGTACGTTACACGTTATAAACGTTATAATTACTCCAGTATTCAGTGTCACATGATTCTTCAGAAATCATTCTAATAAGATGATATATATATATATATATATAAGGAACATTTCTTATAATTATCAATGTTGAAAATGGTTGTGCTCTTTAAAATCTTTGTGGATACCGCGATATTTTTTTAGGCTTCTCTGATCAATAGAAGGTTCAAAACAACAGTATTTATTTAAAATAGAAATGTGTCACTTTTGATCAATTTAATATGTCCTCGCTGAATAAAAATATTAACTTCAATCTTACTGACAATATTTTTGAACAGTAGTGTCAAGAAATGAATTATTTACTCTACCTAACGATCTCCTGCTGTTATTCTTTATGCTTTCTCATGAATGTTCTTAAAAGAGATGCTAAAGTACGGAGGAAGACGATGGTCACTCACCATGGCCTTGGCTTCAGCGATGAAGAAGAGCTCAGTGAGAGCGCGATGGAGAGGAAGGAGGACCGTGATGCTGGTGGGGTCCTGAATCAAACCACTCTCCATAGTAGTGAAGAGCTGCCACAGCGGCCGCAGAAGTGTAAGGTCACAACCCCTGTGTTAACACACACAACAATCAAAATGTGAGGTCATTACACTCTAAATGATCTTGGCTTTTTCATTACTCATACTTTAACTATATGGCCATTTCATTCGCCCGGTTAATGTTCCCCTTGCGGTGGGCAGGTGGCCATTTGCATGGGCTATTCCTCAACCTGACACCACAGGTACATATCTCTATTTCTCTCATACACGCACTGTCTGCTGCTGATGATGATGCAACTGTGTCCAAACACCATGGAAAGCATGCAAATCACCCTGACATGTGACCTTGTTGCCATGGGAACAATCAAGGCAGAATGCGTTATGCAAACGTTGGGTAATTCTGAATGCTCGCCAATACAAAACACACAAATGGATCTGAGGAAAAATTGATTCAGGTTTTCTAAACTCACCACTCTTCAGAAACAATACAAAAGTTGCAGAGCGGAAGAAAGATCTCGAGGCTTGTTAAACTGGGCCAAGTTGAACCTGCCATCCGCCGAGAGCAGAACTGACCTGACAGAGCAAGTTCTGAAAGGAAGTTGCTGCCTCATCTCTTTAGAATAGTGGGGCGGCTTTAAAGCACTGCAGGATGAACTGACTACCTTTTGTTGGGTTTAATAAATGCTGTCAAAGCTTTACAGAAAGGTAAGAAGGGACACACCATTGAGACGGACACTGCAGGAGCCGCAGCAGCAGGTGAATGGCTTTCAGCCGCTGGTTTCCTGTTTGCCGACAGGCCACGCCCACCTGCCACTCCCAGATGTCAGCCAGCGGGAGGTGAGTCAACGCCTGCTCATCAGCTAGCATCTGCTTCAGGATCTCAAAACCTGTTCATAAAAGTGAATTTATTAGCCAACTTGCAAACTGAAAAAGAATATAAAAGCAAGAAGGATATAAATTCAAAAGTGGGGCTGCTTTCTTTCTCTTGTTTACCCTCTTAAGCCTCATCTGTGAAACAGCAAATGAGTTGGCAGACCCCATAAATGAGGCGCTGAGAAACCCATTTGATATTCCATTACAGAATAATAACATCAGAAACAGCAGAAGGTGCACATTTATTAATTCTTTGATTAAAGGTGGACGAGACACAGGAAAGGAGTTCAAAGCTATTCGTCATCCAGTACTGACAGACATGATCAAATCGTACAGTATGCTCAGAAGTTTACAGACTAAGGGCCTGTCTACACTGAATGTGTTTTAGTAATCTACTATGTAAACAAGCGCTAGACAGACATTTTTGACCAGTGCACTCTTATCGCACATGAAATGGTGTTATAAAATACTTGTGTGCGAATGGCCTAATCAGAGCAACTGGGTTGTGGATGAGAATTCTGTAATGGATAAACTTTACAGTAGTGAAATATCAGTACAATATCAGTTAATTTTTAAAAAAATTTATCAGTATCAGTCTATGTACTTATTCATGCTTATTTTGCCTATTTTTACATTTAGATCACCTTTGCCGTCATCCAACATGCAACAAGGTTAATCATTAAATGTGTTTCCATCGTAGTTTATGCACATTTTTTCTTATCGGATAAAAAGTTTATCCTACTCAAATTTGAGCATACGTTTTTTTATGCGCATTTTTTAAAATGTATGCGCATCTTAGCATTTCCATCGAGCGTTTTTTTATGCGATATTCCAAAATGCGCATAAAAATAGGTGGATGGAAACATAGCTATTGTTAACTACAACTAAAATAATTAAAAAACAATTACTTGAAATATAATAAACCTTGATATAAACAGAAACTGAAATAAAATATAATAATATATAATTAAAACTTAATTTAAGCAAATTTCTCTAGTTCTAAAACTTAATAAAAACTCTATACATATATAAAAAACCCTAATCAAAATGACAAAACTAAACAACAAAATTACTAAAACTAAAATGAAAACAGAAAATACAAAAAAACTAATTCAAAATCTGAACAAAGACTATAATAATATATCAATGATATTAAAATAACACTGACGTGCACTAATAATTTAATATGCTGCTAAATGCTATCTTAGTGATATTTTAGTACTATTTATATACTTTTATTGTATTATAAATATTTTGAATTAAATTATTTTTATATTTTCAGTTTTCATTTTACATTTTGTGTAAGTTAAATTTGTTGTGCTATTGTCAATTATATTGGATTTTGTTTTTTTCTGTTTAACTTTAATGCATTTTTGATTTAGTTGAAGTAAGTACTTTCTCATTTTTGTTTAGTTGTTTTTTTTACTTATTTTATTTTGGCTTTAATACAATTACTGAAAATGATTTTTAATAGTTTTAGGTTTTAGCATTTCATACTGTACAATGTTGAGATGCCTAAATTCAGCTTATAAAACGGACAGTTCCAGTCCTTGATTCTGATTGGTTGAGCCGTGTTCGAAGCTGTTGTAAATGACACTATAAAAATACACCTTTGTTTACTTCTGTGTGTTGTTTATCATCATGATTTTCAGTCAGCGTTTATGACTTGTGGCTGTGCCTTAGCTCACTGGTCCCTGCCGAAACCATGAGAGTCCACCCCAACAACTGCCTTAATTCATTTTAAACGTGTTAGGTATGATTGTAGGGTCGGCAGGGCCACCGACTCTGCAGGAAGTTGAGTTTCTGTGGCTGTTAACACTCCCACACGCTGAGAGACACGGCCGTGCTCACAGACCCCCTCTGATTCTCAAACAGCTGTGTAAATGAAGCTTACGACTGAAAACCAGCAAGTGGGACACCAACATTACAACCAGAAAAGACTGTAGGAATGTAAGTCTCACGTGAAATGATGGTATTACTGTGATGGTCTCTAAATTAGATCGACATTTCTGTTTCATGGCATGATTCTAGAGCACAACTAGACAGTGGCTAGAGGACATTAGCGATAGACATCAAAAGAGACATTAAATAATTAAATGAGAACACATTGCATACCAGTCTGGAAGCGCCCTCGATGGCCACCAGTCACAGTAAACTTGTAGCCCCATTCTGTGTTACTCATATCTGATATAAACCTGTAGTAGAGAGTGTCCCCTAGAGGAGAAAGAGGAAAAAACAACCCTTACATTCTGCTCATTTATCAGTAATCCCAAAGTGAAAATGTATGTACATCAGCAAATATACGAATGTGTAGAAGAATTTGTGAACCCTGCAGATTGACCTAGATTTGTACTTACATTTAAATTCAACCAAATTACATTGGTACAATGCACTTATTGTGTGCATACATGTTTTTACATTGCAGATGTAATTACATGCAGGCATTTTTAAATTATAAGTACAATGTAAAAACATGTATGCACACAATAAGTGCATTATACCAATGTAATTTGGTTGAATTTAAATGCAAGTACAAAGTAGTTAAGGGCACTTAACATAAAGTGGGACCATAATATGCAATATTATTGTATTTGAATCTCCCTGGAAAGGCTCTCCTTCAGATTTATTATAATGTGTTAAAAAAAACAACTTGCTTTCAATCTTAATACAAAGTCAATATTTTGAAGATTATATTTAAAGCATTTGCTTTTGCTGTAGTACAAAAAAAAGTTAATTTTGGAAGTACTGGATTTAATAACATTTCCTGCAACTGCCATCTGAACAAAGCAAACACCAGTCCTTTATGATTAATTTATAAACCAATATCATTCAAACATGCCACTTTTTCAAATTCTCACCTGGAATCTCAAAGTCGGTCCATTTCTGGTGAGAACCACTGAAAGTATGCAGGTCCTGCAGGAAGTCACTGCTGCTGGCCATAAAATTTACATGCATTAAGCAGATGTTCTTATCCAAAGCAATTTACAATAGAGGAACATGAGAATAAATCACAAAGCAATCAATATTAATAGTGTATAATGATATTACATTATTAGATATTATTAGATTTTTATATACTAAATACTATTTTCTTTTAATAAACAGAATGGTCACTGAACTAAAAGTCACGCAATGAGGCAACATATGCCTACATATGCATGTACATTCCTAGAAATAAATTCTAAACCTTGACTATGTAAATGAAATGATAATTCAAAGTGTAACTCACCTTTTCTGCACCTCAAGGAAGAAAGAATCGGTTCTCTTCATTTGGAGCTCATACATGGCTCTCAAGATGTGCAGTGGGGCATTAAGAGCATCATGGGTAATCTAACAGCAAGACAAACATGAGAGCTCTAATAAATGTTCCTACATTCCAGTACTGTGAATTATCTGCCCCCTTTCTTGCTCCAGTTCCTAACTGGTGAGAAGCAATTACAACACTCAATCAATCTGATCATTCTAGATCAAACTGCTGCAAGAGAGCTGAAAAAGGCCCACGACTGACAGCAGATGTGTGTCTGAAGCCTGACCTGGAAACAGATCTTTGTCTCTTCATCCAGTCCTTCCAGTGGATCCGGTCTGTTTGGATCGGCATCATCAGCGCAGCAGCTGGAGTGATCCGAGTCATGCTCTTTCTCTCTCTCCTTCTCTCCATCGGTCTCGGTGTCTGCATCCTCTGCCATGGAGTGGATCTCTCGCTTGGAGGAATAAAGCATGATGGAGAGGATCTCTAGGTCTCGCAAAAGCCACATCTTGCTGAAGCCTGTGCCCTTGCTGCACTTACGGACCAGAAGCTGCATCAGGCCAGAGCCCTGGATGGCCTCTTGGGCTTGATCCACCCCATGCTTCTGCAAGAAATAGAGGAAAATCAACAAAATCATGACTTGTTCAAGTTGAGTATTTATGTAATGGCCCCAAAACATATTGGGAAACTAAAGTCATAATTAAGCATCTAAACATTTCATTGCATTAGATCAAATATAAATAAATATATATAATATATAACATAGAATATCAAAACTAAGCATTTATTTCAAAGCAAGATAGCAGAGCACACTTTTCAAGCAAAACATGTCACAAAAGGAAGTAAAAAAAAACAAACAAACATAATATATGTACACACAACTATGCACCTTCAAAATTATTATAAACTATAATGTATATACATTGGTATTCATGCATGTATGTATGTATTTATTACTTCAGGATGTCACATAATCCTTTATAAATAATTCTAATATGCTGATTTGGTGCTCAATAAACATCTTATTATTATCACCGTTGAAAATAGTTGCTTAATATTTTTGTGGAAACCGTAATGCATTGTTTTCAGAATTCATTGATGAGCAGAAAAGTTTAATTAATCAATTAATGTGAGCTCGCTCTTACTGACCCCAAACTTTTGGACCGTAGTGTGTGTGTACCTACATAAGTGTGTGAAATATATGATATATGAGATATAAATATGATATATATGAAATATATATGTATATATAATATGTAATTAAACACACACACGTACATATTTATACATATATACATTTTGTGGTCACTATATAATTTGGTTCTATGACTTTAAACTTTAAAGGGTTAGTATTCTCGTAGCTTCGTAACTTTACAGTTGAACCACTGATGTCACACGGACTAATTTGTCGATCATCTTGGTACATTTCTGGACCTTGAACTTGGTAGTTACCCTGCTGTCTATGGGAGGGTCAGAGAGCTCTCAGATTTCATCAAAAATATCTTAAATTGTGTTCCGAAGATGAACAAAGGTCTTGCGGGTTTCGAACAACACGAGGGTGAGTAATTAATGACAGAATTTTCATTTTTGGGTGAACTAACCCTTTAAACTTCAAAGCCAAAATTTTTGGCTGTACAAGGCAGGTGTGAGGTGAATACCTTGAGAGTGTTGTAGAGTCCTTTAAGAGCGAGTGAGAGCACCCAGATGGCCTCCACAGCATCTTGGACGCTGCTCTCCACCCCGACCTGCAGTAGGTGACTCACAATAGAGGTGAAGTTCTTCAGGTAGCGGCTCATGTGGGCGGAGGTCGGGGACACAGCTTGCCCCTCATGAGACTCTGCATCATTCCTGCTGCTGCTCTCATGTGCCTGGACTAACTGGTAGTCTTTCACTGAGAGAAAAAGTAGAAAATATAGATGCATTAATGCACTTTTTTGTTTTACTATTTGAGTGACCATGGGTATTTCCACAAAGCAGCCACTAAATGAGGCTAGAAAGTCCCAATTGAATAGCATCCTGTCTATTGAAATGTCCTCAGGTAGTAGTGAGGGGCTACTCATTATGACCATTAATCCTACATATTTCTGGTGGTTGACTGAAAGAACTCAAATTTAAAAGCCATTTCAATCACATTTACTAATATTCCTAATGTCCTCATATTTACAAATGAGAAATAAGCATAGAGGTTATCAAATATTTGCTATTTAAAACTTTAGAAGTCAGTACGTTTATTTAAGAAGTACCTTCATACAAAAACCATCTGTTAAACCTGGGCAACAAGGTAAGTAAAGCTGACACACCCTTTGCAAATGAAGGTGGGTTGAAATGTCAGTGACAGTCTGTGACTTTAGAAAGACTCATGCAGCTCAGGGCTGCCAGCAGTGGTATTTTTTACAGCTGAGAACATTTGAGAGATGAGTGTGAGCAGTGTGAAGAACCCATCGACAGAGCTTCTCTCACCTGTTCTCCTCTTACGAGTCTTGACGTCCACCACAGCAGCTCTGTTCTTCTCAGTGAAGTGCTTGAGCAGAATCACGTTGTGTTGTTCGTTGGCATTATCGATGAATACAGCCTGAGTCCCCATACACAGCACCTAATAAACAGACACACAGCTCTTACAAAATGTCATAATGGCTCAGATGAGTCTTGACTACAGATGGCATGTCATAACTTCATACAGGCCTATATTATGTGTGCTAGAGCATGCACGTGTGACATCTTGGTTCATACCTCAGGGAATCCCACGAGCACCAGCAAAGTGAAGAGGTTGGTTCTCTTGAGTTGTTGTGGTAACTGCTGGATGCAGTGATCAGTGAACGCTGCCACAACAGCACACCACTGAGAAGAAATATTCAGGTTTCGCAAGATGTCCGCCACAGAGCACGCCCAATCCAGACCAATACGACTGTTGTAATGAAAACACAGGTGATGGACACAGACTTACTGTTTCGTGAAAAAAATTAAAATGTGTTCATTAAAAATACAAAAACGTCCAACAAAGCTAAAGCTGTAGAGGTAAAGTTCAGCCAAATGTTTGATTTGAGGTCTTCAGTGTCACATGATCTACAAAAAAAAGAATCATTCTAATATGATGATTTGGTGCTCCAGAAACATCTTCAATTTTGAAAACAGCTGTGCTGCTTAATATTTTCTGTGGAAGCCATGATTCATTACGTACATATATATACACATATCTACAGTATATATGCTGTATATGTATCCCGCACTGTTGAACGTTAATGTATTTGGCCTCTAAAACACATTATGTTTAACCATATGTTACACATCCAATCACACTACCTGTCTAGACACACTGCTCCCAGACTAAAGAGCAATTGAGTGGTCTTCCAGCCAGGAACATCAAGCGCTGCTCCATCTCCGAGTGTAAGTAACTCAAATTTGTCGGTCAGTGCCTCTGCCACAGCTGCATCAGCTTCCGCAGGAGAGATCCTTAACAGAAGCTGTCCCAGAAGACCTAGTGTCAGGTGGTATGTTTCATTCAGACAGCCAGCGTTCGAGATGACCACTCTGAACAGCAGTGGCAGGATGGGACTCAGGCTGGACAAAGATAGTGAGCTGCCCTATAGAGGATTAAATGTGTATATTAGCATATTTTGGGTTTCTTGGATGTGAACGTGAGACAAAAAATAGGTAGTTGAACTGAATTTTTTCTGAGTAGTTGAACATTTTCTGAAACCAAAAGCCTACCACTACAACAGTGTTGCCAAGTCTGCGGTTTTCCCGCATAATGTGATATTTAGCCCCTGTAATGCAAATTTTACCAGAGGAACCTCGCCAAAAAACGTGTATTTTACCCCTTGAAATGCCTTTGGGCTCGTGTTGAGTGGCAATTGGGCAGGTTTTGTTGTGAAAACATGGCAACCCTGCACTACAAATTAAACTGGAATCTTTGTTGTTACCTGTTTGGTTGCAGGCAACATGGCTGCCAACAATCCCAGAATTCTCTCTCTGGAGCATTCGGCAAACACATGTTCCTGTAGCGGCCCCCGAGCTGTCTTTTCCTCCTGGTCCTTATATGCGTCCATGTTCTCTGAGTTAGGAGATGTGATAGTGTCTCCACTTGACTCTGAAACTGAGGCGAAAAAAGGAGATAAAATACATTTTAACATCTGTACTTTGCCGTTTTTGTCCTGTTGTCTTCAATTAAATCCCACGAGACATTCAAAAGCAACAAATAACTTTGACTACATAAAGATATTATAGATCTCCTTGATTATTGAAGGGTACTAAGAGACAAGCTCACCTCTGACTCCAGGGGACAGTGTGTCTTCACTAGACACAGAGGGTGTCTGACTGGCACTGGATGAGTCTGACGTATCCTGAGAGACAAGCTTCCTCCTTCTCTTCTCATCCCCTTCTGTATCTGGCTCCTGCTTTTGTGGTTTCTTGTGAAGAGGAATAAAACCAAGAGGATTATGAGGAATTGTTAAAAAAAAGTTACACAGTGTGTTTATCACACTGTTGTTAGCTATAACCTGGGGATTTTAGTCACATTCTTGAAAAATAAAAAGGCCAAAAGCTTCAGTAAAGTACTGACTCTGTCTGTAGGTAGCGGTGGGGAGCAGATAGCTGTAGTGCTGCTGGGAAGTGAGGAGGTGTCTGTGCTGCTGATGTCCTGAAAAGAACCAGCCGTCACAGGACACAGTGCACTCTCTGTGGCTGATTCGTTTGAAGAAAGCAGTGACAGCAGGGCAGAGGCTCGCAAACCTACAGGAAACAACAGCAACCCTGATTATACAGACACATCAACCAAGACTTGCATTTCTAATTAAAACACACACACAACTTAACTCTTAATAGATCATGTGCATTCAGATATATTGATTACCTTTCCCAGTCTGTCCCTTCAGCAGGCAATCATTGATGATGTCAGAGCAGTGGGTTTGCAGTGCCCTAGCGTAACCGAGCTTGACATCATTCAAAGGCTCTCCATCCTGCACGCTCTCGCTGATCAGCTCGGATGTGAACAGGGCGAGTGTAGCAAAAAGAAGCCAGGAGTAGTTATGTATATAGGGCTGAATGAGTCTGTGGCGGTCACTGATGCGAATGGTGACCATAGGGTACACTGTGATACGATGGGTGGGCAGATGGCTAGAGGTAGAGGGAAAAAGTCATAATAATAATAATAGCATAATAATAAAAATGAAAATATAATAATAATAAATTGTTTTGCCACTGAACCTCAAGTTACTCCAAAAAATTGTATGCATGTATGCATGTATGTATGTATGTATGTATATATGTATATATATATATGTGTGTGTGTGTGTGTGTGTGTGTACTGGTTTATATATTCTGGTGGGGACTTAAACCTGACTACACACAGACTCATGGGGACTCGTGTCACGGTGGGGACCTAAATTGTGGTCCCCACGGGTACAAAAGCTTATAAATCATACAGAATTAAGTTTTTTGAAAATCTAAAAATGCAGAAAGTTTCCTGTGAGGGGTAGGTTTAGGGGTAGGGTTGGTGTAGGGCAATATAATATATGGTCTGTACAGTAGAAAAACCATTACGCCTATGGAGTGTCCCCACAAGGATAGCGGACCAGACATGTGTGTGTGTGTGTATAAAAAGATAAAACTATAAAAAAAAACAAGTAAAAAATATATGAAAAATTACTAAATAAAATTATACAGAATTTTTTTTAATAAAAACTATATTAAAACGCAAAATAAATAAATAAATATGAAGACAACAACATAAAGTATAATATATATCTATATTAAAAAAGAAGGATTTGCATCTTTAAATAACCAGATCTGAAATTCACTCATTCAATTGAGGTATCCAATTTTTATTGGGTCATAAATTGATTAAAATGTATCTGACCTGATGTGGAATCATTTTGGTTTGAAAAATTGTTTGCAAATATTTTATATTTTCATGTTCATTGTTTAGTTGCCATTAGTGATCTTCTCACGTGTATTACCTGTCTGGGTATTTTTTGGCATTATAACAGCCAAAGCAGAGATCAAAGTCCTCACAGACATTACAGTTAATCCTGCTGCCCACGATAAGGCCCTGGCAGTGGTCACAGGCATACTCCATATTCACCATCTCATGGTCATCCTCATGGCCTTCTGGTTTAGCACCACCTGAACCAGGAGAACAGAGCTGTTCAATACACGCACTCCAACTTATCAAGTGTGCGAGAAATATACTGCTGCAATAAATTATTTGTGTAGTGCCTAACTTAATGTGAATGCAATTAAAAGGGAAATAATGTTTGATTAACATTTAGTTTTTGCTTCATTATAGTGTAAGCCACTGTTGACTGTGATGGTGTGACTCACTGAGGAAGCAGGTCTTGCACAGGTCCATATCTGTACACTGCAGGCACCGGTAGCGATGCCACGGTGCGATCCGTTCGCAGCCGTCACATGAAATCTCCACATTCAGCAGGTCGCAGTAGCGTGCAATGAACATGTGCATCTGCAAAGATCAAAAGTTAGTGAAAGAGCACCAAAAATGCACAATATGTTTAGTTTCATATGGGGTTCTTTGCAAATAACATTATTTTGAGGGCTGTTTGCAGTAACTTGTATATGAATATGTAAAATTTGCAGAGAGCAAAAGACACTGTTCACAGTTAAACTAGCCTGACTAACAAAAGACTAAGCAAATCCAATCCAAATATTTGTTCTACCTGAATAAAGTGACTGTCTTATGATTAGGCATTGATGGGTGCTGACATTTGCTTGTGTTTGCGCAGATTAAACACTGAATTGTGACGTTAAAAAGGTTTGCAGGTATACATTCAATAAACATTACATGCAAAATAATGCTGTAACTCCACCCAAAGCTAGTTTTTGTGTTAATTCAACTGTCTTCCTCTTCAACAGTTCTGTTTCCCAGGAAAGCATTTATTTGATTTGATATCTGTACCTTTCTCTTGTCCTCCACTGAGGCCTGGCTGATCTTGTCAAACCATTTCTCAAACATGCCATCCAAACACTCATCCATCCATTCCGTGTTCCTCTCGTAGTCAATGATCTCATCCTCCTCCGTCCACTGGCTACATCATCATGTCACATGGAGAAAATAACAGACGAGAAGCCAAATAAAACACTGGATACTTTTAAGCTTAGTTTGTGAGATCTGGAATTAAGTGTAGATTAAGAGTGTCAATATCACAAGAATCACAACAACGAAGCTCACCGAATGTGCCTTCAATATGTCTTCAACAACTTTACAGAAGAAGTCAAATGATAATGATACTAAAAAAGACACTGAAAGCTCCCTCATTTTATCCTGAAGTCTGTATAATATTTCACATTTACGATAGAAAGCATGGGAATTTTAAGAATAAAGTGAAATCAAATTTATATTATAACAGACCTTTCCTTACATTTGTATTGGGACAGTGTCAGTCACATTCAACACAAGCTACTCAAAAAACAACAGTTATACACTTCATGTATCTTTTTTTTGTAAACATCCCATTTGATCCCATCCCATTGATTTTTTTTATTTTTGTTTTAAGGCTGAAGTCCCTACATTCCCAGCACAGCATATGCGTTCTGATCCATGTCTCATACCTGATGGCAATATCATGCACACTGATGTTTTCTTGGGACATGGTGAGCAGAAGATCAGGCAGTTTGATGTCCAGAAACAGTGATAAATCTTCTGCTTCCCAGCTCATATCCAGCAAATGCAGCAGACATGTCTGCACACATGACAGGGCGGGAAGCAGGGCCCTAAGGACACACAGAACACACAATGGACATAAGACATACAGAATGCATTGGCAGTCCTTGTGTAGCATATTTATTGCTACTAACTTCTAGCGCACACGACACAATGATTTCATAATTCACATTCAATATTTAAAAACCCACTTCTCGTTCAGTGCATTGAAGCTCTGCACGGCCTCTACTAGCATGAGAACCAGCTGATGATACGAGTGTCTGACCAGCTCCCTCATGTCCTGCCCGCTGCCCACCAACTGAGAAAAGTAACTGAGAAAGACAGACAGGTCGAGTTAAAATAATAATATTAGAACAGTAGTCAGATATTAGTATGACATGAAATGGTTTTCTAGATCAAGAGCCACCTTTTCTAGGTGGCTCTCAAACCTGTCCTGGGGACTCCCAACTAGGCTTGCCGCAATAGACGGTGCTGACGGTGATACCGGTGTTAAGCCGCAACACCGGTTATGTCACTTGCCCATCGGTGCACCGACCCCCTCCGTCGTTTTGATTTTTTATAGTAATAAAAACAATTTAGTTCAGTAAAAGAACAGACACTACAATTAAAAACAGAACGCGGCTGCTCAATGCAGCGTGCTGAACGACAGTCGCATCACAGATCAGATTTCATTTATCCAGTGAGGAGAGTGAGTCGAGCTGACTGACAAGAAGAGTGAGGTGAGGTGAGACAGACAAGACGATGGCAGATGATTTAGTATCGAAACGAGATGCAAAAGTGCCTGTTTGGCAATATTTTGGATTTTGAAAAGCCTGTTGACTTTTGCCGTTTATCTAAGGGGATTTTGGAAGTTTTTTTAAACATTCGTTTCTTATTTAATTGGTTCCACATCGTTTGCTGATTTTTACTTTATTTAAACTTTGTGTCATTTATTTATTTATTTTTTACATCAAGGTGTATGCCGTGCCTCCAAGCGTTCTTACTCATTTTGCTAATAAACGTTCTACGTTTCTTATTTATTTGGTTAAATATTATACATGTTTACTTGGCCTATTTCCAGTTTTGTATACCTATTTAAACTTTATGCAAGTTATTTATTATTTTATATTAGGCATAGCCTACCCTATAGCATGGTGTATTTTTTATTTGTTTTGTTAATAAAAGTTCTATGTTTTATATATAGGCAAAAGTGAGTTTGACGTTGTATTTTGTTGTTGCATTCAAGCAATTGACGCCGAACTGCCGCTAATTCGAAAGTGAAAGTAAAATGCGCACGGCGCTTTTAAGCTATTTAAAAGCGAAGGAAAGCGAGGAAAAGAGGGGAAATTCAAACGAACTAAAAATGAACAATTGCTTCACGCCAAATTGCCGCTATTTGAAAGTGAAAGTAAAATGTGCACGCAGCTTTTACAAGCTATTTAAAAGCGAAGGAAAGCAAGGAACGCCCCCGCCCCCATGGGGTTGTCACACGTCGATTAACCGGTGGGAAAATTTCCTCACCGTCACAACCCTACACCCTTGCAAAATAAAAGTATTCTATTCTATGAAAGAAAAATCCCTAAACTGTTGATTGAAAATCTGGAAACAAACAAATACACCTAGAAATAAACTGAAAGACTTGTTTATTTGTTTTTTGACAAAAAGAAACATGAAACAAAATAATAAATATTTAAAGGGGTCCTATAATGCTTTTTCACGCTTTCAACTTTAGTTAGTCTGTAATGTTGCGGTAGAGCTCAAAGTCCACTTCAAAAGGAGATATTTTACTTAACAGAAACTGAAAATCTGGAAACAAACAAATACACCTAGAAATAAACTGAAAGACTTGTTTATTTGTTTTTTTGACAAAAAGAAACATGAAACAAAATAATAAATATTTAAAGGGGTCCTATAATGCTTTTTCACGTTTTCAACTTTAGTTAGTCTGTAATGTTGCGGTAGAGCTCAAAGTCCACTTCAAAAGGAGATATTTTACTTAACAGAAATCTTTTTAAAAAACTACAACGAACGACTCGTTTGGACTACAATGCATATTTTCCGGGATTTGTGATATCACAAATACCGACGAATGGGATGAGACCTGGTTGAGCTGCACTAGAGAAGGCAACGAGTGTTATCACTATGTCGGAGACACGCTAGCTTTCCCAAGGCAGACACACTTAGAGTGGTTACAATCGTGCTCAAATTGATTTGATTTTGACGCAATATTTACACTGAAGCTCGCAGGCGGCTATGGCAATGGGCATGGCATTTCCCGACCAGGCGCCGAGTGCTGCCAATCACAACACACACTGGCCCAGCTAAACAATCACAGCACATTTCGTATTTCAGAAGGCGGGCCTTCATTTGATACAGGAACTATTCGAGCCGTTCATGCCAGACTGGGGAGAGAGGTGTTGTAATAATGTAAAATGTGAAAAATAATGTGTTTTTTGAACAACCTAGCATGAGAGCCTGTTCTAGTACACCCCCAAAACAAAATCAAGACTTCGTAAAAGAGCATAATAGGACCCCTTTAAGATTCAGCACTAAGTCACTCATCAAATAAGCAAATTTGTGACATTGTCCAAATGCTAAATAATCATCTTTTGACTCAGATTATATACATACAGTGCTGCTTGAAAGTTTGTGAACCCTTTAGAATTTTCTATATTTCTGCATAAATATGGCACAAAACAATCAAAATGTCACACAAATCCTGAAAGTTGACAAAGAGAACCCAATCAAACAAATGAGATGAAAATATATACTTTGTCATTTATTTATTCAGGAAAATTATCCAATATAACATATGTGGGTGGCAAAAGTATGTGAATCTCTAGGATTAGCTGTTAATTTGAAGGTGAAATTAGAGTCCATCTGTTCAGAGTTGTTTTTAATCAGTGAAATTACTATCAGGTGTCATTGCGTGCCCCGTTTTATTTAAAGAACAGGGATCTATCAAAGTTTGGTCATGTTTGTGGAAGTGTATCATTGCACAAACAAAGGAGATCTCTGAGGACCTCAGAAAAAGAGTTGGTGTTGCTCATCAGGCTAGAAAAGGTTTCAAAGTCATCTCTAAAGAGTTTGGACTCCACCAATCCACTGTCATGTAATGGCTGCTGAAACTTCAGATCATAGGAATAAATTACATTTTAACATATATTCAAATACAAAACAACTATTTTAAATTGCAATCTTTTGCAATATTACTATTTTTATTGTTTTTAGCTTAAAAAATTACAGACCCCAAACTTTTGAAAGGTAGTGATTATTTGCATTAAATGTAATAATAATGATCAAATTCATTATTTTGCAATTATGCAAATAAAAAGAGAAGCATTTTCACTAGAAGGCTCAGATGTACAGAAAATGCTACCAAAATTCAACAGATTTTGACACATGGATCAAATAGTACTCAAAAACATACATAATATTTCAGCAACTAATGGCTGCAATTTCAGTCACAAAGCTATTTTATGGTTTCAGAAGCAAACAAGTTGTAAGGGCTACTTTTATAATAATATTCATTACTTTAGGAGGCCCTGGTCACCATTCACCTTTATTGTGTGGAAGAGCCAACAGGACACCAGAACAACATAGTATCTACTTTTGTGTTACAGCGTAACATTAAGTTATAAATGTTTAGAATGTCATGAATGAGAGTAAACTGAACTATAGCTTTAAAGGGACAGTCCACCCAAATATTAAAATTCTTCCTCACCGTCATGTTGTTCCAAACCTGTATGAGCTTCTTTCTTCTGTGGAGCATAAAAAAGATATTGCTGGTAGCCAAACAGTTGCTGGTCCCCTCTGGCTTCCATAGTAAGGGGAAAAACACTATGGAAGTCAAAGGGGGACCAGCAGTGGTTTGGTTACCATCATTCTTCAAAATATCATCTTTTGTGTTCAGCAGAAGAAAGACATTTTTTTAGGTCTGGAACAACATGAGGGTGAACTATCCCTTTAAGCTTATGCATCAAAATCTGTTGAATCATAGCATCATACATCTAGCCATACACATTATGAGGTGAACATACCTGTTCTCATTAATGACCATGTCCTTCATAAAGCTGAGGATGTGTTTGAGTATCAGGAAGCGCTCTTTAACAGGTGGTGCCATGCGAGGCTCCTCCATAGATCGTAAGGAAAGGAGCCTCAAGCGGCCCCGACTGAAAGGTGCTTTACGTGGGAAGACTAACGGGGACAGAGGCTCTCCGGTCTGAGACTGAAGACTTTCTGAGGAGCCCGTGGCACCCTGAGAACTGATGCTGCTGGAAGGTCCAGCCTCCACTGGTGCGGAGAACATCTGGTCACGCTGACTGGCCCCTGGGGGCGTCGCTGCTTCTGCTGCCTCAGGGTTCTGGGAGATGGAGGGAACAGAGGGGCTGGGCTGGAAGTCTCCCTCTGAAGTGGAAACAGATCGAAGAAGAGGAGCAGCACATGCGCCATCTTCTGGTCTGGAAGGCTCTTGTTCCAGAAGTGCAGAGGTTCCTCCACTTGGGCTGAATCGGAAGAGGAACAAACTTCTACTGATGCAAATTTCAGCTGTTAAGAGAGTGAAAAAGATAGTGAGAATGCAGAAGAATTAGTTTAAGAAACTCTGCATCAAAGGCATATTTATAGCATCAATATTTACCAAGTGACTCCATTGTAACCTCATTCTGTCCATCTTCTTTTTCCTCTACTCCATTCATTTTACCCATAAGGTAGCGCTGTTTCATTTCCAACTACCAAAACGAATCAAATGGAAGAAGTAAATAATAAGAAATATTACGTCATTTTAAAACCAAAAATTATAAGCTATACTTACCATCCACGTTCTGATGCCATCGGTGAGGGCATAGACCTGCAAAAGGTCCTCGCTAAGACTGCTCTGGCCGTTTTTAGCAACTAATGCAGTGGAGATAAGAAAAGGAAACATGCTCAAAAGGACATTGGGACTGGGATTGACATGTATGACCGACAAACTGTCCTGTTCATACAAACATCTTACAGAAACAGATCAAATACTGTCTGTACCAAGGGATCAAGGTTTTGATAGTTTAACATGGCCCTGGAGTTTTAGGATTTTCACATTATGAAGCAATATGAAATATGAAGTACAATCAACAAGAAATATAAGATTCTGCACTGTTTGTCATTAACCAAATTTGTGGCATTGACCAAATACTGTTTCCTCTGTTCTATATATACACATACATACATAAACACACACACACACACGCATTAATAAATGTTTCAAGAGTGTGTCTGCAACATTTCTCTTTAGTGTTTGCTCTCTTGAACCTGAATGAAACTCTTAAAATGTATTTAATTACCAAAGCTCCTAAGACTGTGGTGAAGTGCTGGTGTGTGATACACCATGGCCGCCCATGCGGCGTTCACAGCCTGGTCCACTTTTGAGCCTGCAGCAATCTCGTTCCTGATTGGCTGCTTCTTGCAGGTCATCAAAAGGGCCCTCATTAACTCCGTCCTGTCATCAGAAGCATCCTGCGAAGGATCCCAGCAGGCAAAGTCCTTAAGGAATTCCACCAATTCATCTCCCAAAGGTGCTGGCTCTTCCTGCAGAACAAAATAGCACAAGACGCACAAACATGATTAGATTTTTTTGTAACTTTTTTTTTTTTGGACTGAAACGCACACATAAAAGTCATAATCCAAGTACTCTCACCGGGTCGGTGTCTGAGCTGGCCAGGGCTAATTTCTTTTCTCCAGGAAGTCCACTCAAACCATGTCTGAACATAGGCTTCCATAGAGGACAGGACAGGACATGGTTCATCAAGCCTGCAGGCAACTCTTTTACACCACGGATCTCTTCAAGAGGAAGGCAGACATAACACAAAACCATCATCGTAAGTCAACTAACTGCAATTTATATTGTGATATTTATATTCAATGTCGGTCTATACAATCACCTTTTTTTTTTTTACCATTTTACAATTTATTTATTTGAAGGAGAACATATTTATGTGCTCACACACATTTAAATTAAATACAAGGGATAAAATTAGACTTTTTAAAATAATTTAACAGAGAAATAATCAAAAGTACACAATTATCACACCGTAAGGTGATTTCAAAGCCATGGTGCGGGAGGCCAGACGGCCCATTAGCCTGGACACGAGGAGCTGCAGATCTGAGGTCCAGGACACGGTGACGTCTGGCAGGCCATATGCTGTCACTGTGAACTTGTAACCCCATTCGTTATTACTGCTGTCTGAGTGGAACAGAAACTGCAGCTGGGGACCTGCTTTAAACGTCACTTTCTGAAGAAAAAAAAGCATGATTTATTATACATAACATTTATTTTTTATTCTTCTTCAATATATTTTTAAAAAAAGGAATCACATTCAAGCAAAGGCTAAAATTAATTGCATTGATTTGAACAAATTATCTTTAATATAATTACATAATTAACACATTTGGCAGACCACTATAGTTAAAGGGGTCATATGATGCTGCTAAAAAGAACATTATTTTGTGTATTTGGTGTAATGAAATGTGTTTATGCGGTTTAAAGTTAAAAAAACACATTATTTTCCACATACTGTACATTATTGTTTCTCCTCTATGCCCCGCCTTTTTGAAACGCGTCGATTTTTACAAAGCTCAATGGTCTGTTCTTTATGCACCAAGAGCTTGTAACACTCCAAAGAGAAAGGAAAAAATGAAATCGCATCATATGACCCCTTTAAAATAGTACAGTAAACCGTTTTTGTACCTTTGGCCATTTCTCCGTGTCGACCTTCATATCATATCGCACTTTTCCTCCCCTAGCATCAGTGAATTCCAGATAGTCATACCTACCAAAAAACACCTAATTAGTGCAAATATAATACAAACTTTAACTCAAGTCACACATGTATCTGTAACAGGAAAAGTGTGAGTTTGATTCCTGTTTTCACCAGAAGGTGGCAGTAGAATTGTAGAACAAGCTCTTCACACCTTTTCTCTGTTTCACAATGTTCATCAAACTCCACCTCGAAGGATGTGGCACCAGGACAGACAAAGACGGTGGTCTCGTGTCTGCTGTTCTCATAGTTATGAGGTGACTCCATATGCCACGTCCTTAATACAACAGGCTGCTGAGTCTGCTGACAGCCCTCCATATCAACCTACAAACACAAAGGGATAAAACCTGATAAATGCATTATTCTTACCAACTGTCATTCAGTTTTTAGTGGCTTGGTTAGCTTACTTTTTCATTTGGATGTAGAACCCCCAAATGAAATACTCCTTTACATTAGTTTTCAGTCATTTTAATTCTATGTATTTTAACTTAAACGTATCAAACTGTTTAAGACACAGAGTGAACTGACCTTAGAGAAGATGTCCTCTGTATCACTAGACAGCTTCTTGAGCAGGTCTGCCAGAGGATAGAATCTCTTGAGCAGCACACAGTGAGGAATATCCAGAGCGCACAGCTCCAGCAGGAAGATTGCCTAACAACAGCACACAATTGAATCCACACTTAATATATACATACATACAGAAGCATAAATAAATGAATGAATAATTAAATAAGATTTAGTGGGATAAAGCGGTCAGCTACCAGCTGTCTTGTTGCCATGGCAAGAATTGATCCACTGAGTTTCTCTATGATGTCAGCTCCAGAGAAGAGCTTAATAAGAGGACTCAGTATGTCTCTGGTACCTGACAGGAACTGTTCCACATCTAATATCCAAGAGAAACAATACAGATATATTCACACTTCGTCAGACTACCGCAAATAATCACTACTGTTCAAACGTTTGGGATCCGTAATTTTTTTTAAGGTAAGGCTGCATTTATTTGATCAAAAACAGTAGAAATAGTAATATAGCAAAATAATACCATTTAAAAGAATTTTGTATTTTAATATATTTTAAAACGTAATTTATTCCTGTGAAGGCAAAGCTGAATTTTCAGCAGCCATTACATCCGTCTTAAGTGTCACATGATCCTTCAGAAATTATTCTAATATGCTGGTTTGGTACACTTCTGATAACTACCAAAGAGTTGTGCTGCTTAATATATGTGTGAAAATCATACTCACTCAGGATTCTCTGATAACAGAAAGTTCCAAAGAACAGCATTTAGAAGATCTCTTGTAACATTATAAATGTTTATACATTAGTGCTGTCAAACGATTAATCACATCCAAAATAAAAGTTTTTGTTTACATAATGTGTGTGTACTGTATATTTATTATGTAACGTTATATATAAATACACATATATACAGTAGATATTTGAAAATATTTACATGTATATATTTATATTCATATAATTTATATTATATATAAATATATCTAGCATATAAACATAACACATTTCTCTTAAATATATACGTGTCGTGCATGTGTGTGTATTTATATATACATAATAAATATACAGTACACAAATATATTATGTAAACAAACTTTTATTTTGGATGCGATTAATCGTTTGACAGCACTATTAGAAATGTAAATTGTAAATGTCACTTTTAATGCATTCTTACTGAATAAAAGTGTTTCATTAAAAAAGTGCCTATGTTATGTTCCATCATGTGTAGCTACAATTCACTCTGAAATACCTCTCACTGACAGTCAAATAAAGCTGACAGCACAGTCTTTAGTGCTAGACTGAAAAGTGTTACTCAAATGTTGTACAACCATTTGCTGTTTTACAAAACAGAAATATCTGAATCAAAAACACACAGAGCTGGACTACATCTTTATAGAGACCAGAGACCACTGAAAAACTAGAAATCAAAATTTTAACTTAAAACTTCTCAAGATGCTCTTTCAAACTTTCTCCTCATCAGATTTTACACAAACACATACCACTTAAGTGCCGAATGTTAATTCTTCAATTCAGCTTTGTAACTGTCATGCTCATAATACAATTTGTAATGAAAAAGGCATTAAAATATAAATATTTAATATATACATTTACCACAGCATATAAGAAATTTCCCAAGTGGTCTCAGATTTTTCACCATACTGTATTTTGAAGGGCTCTATAAAAGCAGAATGGAAAACCAAGAAAAGCACACTAACATTTCAGCAGGATTTCCCTGGCCAGATCAGCAGAGGTGGCCGTTCCTCCTTTGAGCTGCAGGAAGCACCAGGACAGCAGGCTGCCCTGTAAAGCCCAGAACAGAGACAGCAGGACCCTCCAAATGGACCCTCCTCTGGAATCCAACATCAACACCTCACACTGAAGAAAGAGAGAGGGGCATTTTACATGGATCAGCATCACATTACTCTTTATATAGCTAGACAAGAGAAAACTATTAAGGTGTTGTCATGCAATGCATTACAATACGAGGTGTCAGCTAACGCATGTTAATGCACTATGTAAACATCTAAAGTATGTGTCAGCTATTTGCAGGAGCTTATATATGTTAGCAGGAGTGACCAGATGAGGTTGGCTGTCAGCATAGGGCAGATATACCTCTCTAGTGGCCACAATGAGCAGCGTGTCCATGACGGTCAGGACAGGTGAGATGTCAAAGTCAGATGGGGCTCCTTTAGAGGGCAGCAAGAGGAGACCTTTCGGGTCCTGATCGCTGCAAACAGAGATTAGCGCGAAACGACGTGTGAGAGCAGGAAGTAAGCTATACATTTTAACAGGACAAAAAAAAAAGTTTAAAGGGAGGAGTCTGATACCTGAAGTAACTGCAGAGAGACTCAAAAGTCAGTTTAACAGACTCTGGCTGATTTTCTTCAGTTATGTTTTTCTGAGAAAAGCAAAAAAAAAATCTCATACAATAGCAATTCAATAACAATATTCAGCCAAGGCAAGTACACCCTCATAGTCTTACTTACCATCATGTGAAAGAGTTTGTCCCTCCGGCTCTGTTTGTCAGGGAAGAAAATGGCAGCTCCACTGAGGATGGCTTTCACGGCTTCTTTTCTCAGAGCTTTCTCCACTGCAGTCTGTCCTTCAGGACCGTCCACCACTGCGCAGCACAAAAACTGTGGGTTATTCTCCCAAGCACCAAGCAAGACACGATGGCATTATTATATTGCTTTTAACCAATTTAACTGTGTGTTTTTAGCCATCAATTTTAACTGATATTTTTTTGGAAACTACAAATTACACTACAATTCAGTTTGTGGTTAGTATGTTGTTTTTTATTTAGAGAAGACAAATTAAACTGATTAAGTGACATTAAGAAATGTATAATGTAACAAAAGACTTAAACTTCAAATAAATTCTGTTCTTTTTAAGTTTCTTGAGCTTAGCCACAGGAATCAATTCTATTTAGAAATATATTAAAATAAAATAAAAACTGTTATTTTAAATTGTAGTAATATTTCACAATATTACAGCTTTTACTGTATTTTTGATTAAATAAATACAACCTTGGTGAACATATGAGACTTCTGTGAAAAACATTTAAAAAATACACACTCCAAACTTTTGATCAGTAATGTTTGCTACAATGGAAGCACATTGAGAGCAGCTACAAACTTCTACTTCAGCTTAAACGCTGTTCCAACAGATCATTATTTATGTTTCATGTTCTGTACTTCACTGCTTGTTCTCACAGCTGGTTTCGGGCAGTTCTCCACAAACACAAATCAAACTGTACATGCTATACAGCAGCAAGGCATTACAAACAAACCACTGAAGTGTGTCTCGATTTGCCACAGTCATGCCATTGAGTCATACAGAGCAGTATGTGAGTCTTACCTTGACAAAAGTGACTGTAGAGCTCTCCGACAGCTTCTGCAGGATCCACGTCTGTGCTGGCTGAGGGTGCTGCTGAAGCTGAAGCTGAAGCTGAGGCTGTGATGTCTGACAACTGGGACTCTGTCAGGCTGGGCAGCATTGGGAAGCAGTTCTGGAGCAGCTGAAGCAAGAGAACTCTTGTCTTTATGGCCTCCTCTCCCTCACTGAAAGTGTATGCACACACATACGTGGCAGACATTGGAAAATATCATTTTAAAACACATTTTATCTGCCTTAGTTCATAAGAAATGTTTCACCAAATCGTAATATTAGAATGGTTTCTGAAGGATCATGTGACAATGAAGACTGGAGTAAAGACTGCTGAAATAAATTACATTTTGAAGAATATTAAAAATAGAATACAATTATTTTAAATTGTAATGATATTTCACATTGTTACTGTACTTATGATCAAATAAATGCAGCCTTGGTAAGAATAAGAGACTTCTTTTGACCCCAAACTTTTAAAAAGTAGTGTTATTACATGGACAAGGACACAATACTTTAATGTCAAAGTCTAAACTTTGTGTCTAGTCTTTATTTTAAAAAGTATTCTTTACTGTCTATTTTTAAACACCTTTGCCTTAATTAGTTCATTTCAAATGATCCTTTAAATGGACAAAAAGTACAAATAATACATGTAATCTCTAAATTATTATTTCTAAAATCCTTTTTTTTATATATTTTACATAAACTATAGCATGTCACACCATAGAACTTTGCCATCATGGCTTAAAATTTCATGTCAAGTGGACTTCCGAAAAAAATCATAATCTACAGGAAGCATGAACATCTGACCATCTGTAGAGAGAGTCACATGATCAGTGAACTTATCAGATTAGTGGCCTAGAAATAGAAAGTCTTTATGGCATAATGTAAAATGAACCACTGATTTTTAACACATACTCTCTGTAACCCCACCGTATGAGCAGTAAAAATTGCATCAATTTTAGGAGAATTGTGAATTCAAATAAAATCCATGCACATATTAAAATAAACATAAATTCTCATTACAGCTTTACTCACATAGATCTGAGTTTGCGGTAGAAGTCCCAGAACAGCAGCATGCTGAGGTCACTGAAGTCCAGCAGGGACTTCTGCTTGGACAGAGACACATCCTGTAACATATGCTCAGGGTTTATACAGCTCTCTTTAGAGAGGCATGCAAAGTTCACTGAAAAAATGCATTACGAATTTCAGAGTTTTCAGAAATTTCAGAAATTAGGTCAGTCGCAAGAGGACATGGGTGTACCATATTTCTGGTGAGCTGCTGGACGAAATAAAGGGTTTTCTTCATGAGTGCGAGACCCGTAACCAGGCCTGAAATGCTCCCCTCGGCCTGAGCGCTCAGATCGTCCACATCCTCCAGCCGCTCAGAGTGTGGACACAAATAACCACTGAAACTCATCTGCTGAACCCCCAACCGCTCTGCTGTGTCCTGCCTAGCACACAGGAACTTCACCATCAGAAACTACACACAGAAAGACAAAAAGAATAGCTGTTAATCAAGTGTTACAATTGTTTTAAATTATTTTTCAGAATTCATAATATTTAATTAAAATGACAAAAAATGACAGACTTGCGCATGAAATGTTCAACTGCAAATTGAAATTAAGATCTGTCTCCACTGAATCAACAACTGATGGATTAAACCAGGGCTGTCCAAACTCGGTCCTGGAGGGCCGGTGTCCTGAAGAGTTTAGCTCCAACCCTAATTAAACACACCTGAACCAGCTAATCAAGCTCTTACTAGGCATAGAAACTTCCAGTCAGGTGTGTTGAGGCAAGTTGGAGCTAAACTCTGCAGGACACCAGCCCTCCAGGACCGAGTTTGGACAGCCCTGGATTAAACCAAGTCTACACCCTACATTTAGTTTTCGATAGTCAATTTCACTTAGATCTTCATCATAATACAGAAGAAATGATCTGTCACTACTTTCATTTCATTGCGCTTTTAAAGCATTTAAAAATAATTCAGCAAAAACTGTTAATTATTGTTATTTTAACTGTAATAATGTAATTTTAGCTGTAATAAAGACATTCAGTCTGAGAAGGGAGAACTTTAGTAGGTGGACAAACTCCCAGAGTTAATAACATACAGTTTGTGATTTTCGATTGATGTCAGGAGCCAACGTTCAAAGAAAGAAAGAAAGAATCCATACTTTTGACACTCTGCATTGTTGCAGCTTGATCTCCACGTCGTTCCAGTCCTCTTCCACCTCAAACCAGCCAATGGGCTCGTCCTCACTGGTCTCTTCTATCCTTGTGCTGGAGTGTGTGTGTTTGTTTGTGAATGTAATACACGTGACAGTGTGTGAGGTACAGAGGCAGAAAACAGCGGGGGTCAATTGACTCACAGAAACATTCTCACTAAATTTACAGCCATCTTGGCCGTGTGTACATGTGCACAGACAAAAATACACTCTCACATGCACTGGGCAAGACAAGGCATTCCCACAAGCTGCTCACTCTCTCACACACTCCTAAACAAGCAGCATTTAAAGTTCATGTGATCAATACTGGGTGTCTTTTATGAGCAACAACATTACATTAACAAATCAACAACAAATCACTGTCACATACCTGTCTTGGACAAATTCTTTATAGTCTTTGTAGTCCCAGCTGTCATACTTTTTGAATCTTTTGAAGTGTTTATCTGCATCAAATGCCTCGCTGTCATTGTAGGCAAACACCAAGCCACATTTAGCACCAATAGCTCCTTTACGCACCTGAAGCGTAGGAACACAGCAGTGCTTTAAAACTAGGATATGTAGATCAGATCAGTTTGAATGTTTCCCAAATGAACATTTATTTGACTCCCGTACTGACAGAACACACTCTAATTTCTTGTTTAAGAAGTACAAAGCACAATTCTCAAGTATTTACTAAAGTGTTTCTCTTACTTTTATCTTGATCTGTGTGACCTGGAAGCAGCTCTGGTTTTCAGTAGACAGAATCACACTGGCTTTCCTCTTTCCATTCTCTGTCAGAAAACCTGCAGGTACAAATGAAGCATTAAGAGGGTCCACTTTGCATTAGATTCTTTCTAAGCAATACAGATGACCGCTCAACCATACAGCCTTTCTCCACAGAGAAAGCTATTCTTTTAAAGCACACAGCTGTTTTAAAAGACATCACTATTCACATTAGCACTTTGGTGATTTATCTGTGAAGCACTATCAAAATACCCATCTCTACACCAAATAAAACCAAAACCGTACCATCTCCAGTGTTGGGCTCCGTCAGCATGTTTTCTGGGCCAGACTTCTCCTCTTTACTCTTCACATCACATGCTTGCAGATGAAGCTGGATGGGTTTACCTAATTTACATGAACAGTGATAAACGAAAAGAAATGTCTATATCAGTGTTATTACTGTTAACTTTTTTCATTTGATTAAAATGTATTAGTTATTAAATTTGAAAAAATCCTTTGGGACCACTGTGCATTACCATTACGGTAGAGTAGTCTTAACCGGACAGACGCCATAGAGGCCAGCAGTGAGGAAGCTCTGTACTCTGAGTCCAGATGCTCACAGACACCAGACAAAGAGATGAGGACTTTAGCCACACTGCCTCGAGCCAGAGCAAACGCTAACAGAGTCAGCTCAGCGTCAGGAGACACACAGCAGCTAGGACGGTTGAAAGCAAAGCACTTCTGTTAAGCTTTCTCAGCAGAGTGTCCAATTACGTTCAGATGAAACAGCTGTAATTATTCACTGATAGAAAACGGTTTTCCATTATAATCAGGCTAACTCGTATTGTGTAATTAAAACCGAAAGGGGTTTGCCACTATTGCCCTCCATGTCAGTATTGTTTTGACCTATTAATAACAGATTTAAACGTGCTGAGTTGAGCTGAGCTTGTGCTAGCAGAGCTTGATTCTTACTCTGCTATGCGCAGTAAAAAGCCGTCCACCTCTTCCAGAATGTTTGCAGAGAGGAATCTGGGGAACTCCATTGAAGACGGCGTTAAGGACAGGGGCGGCATGTGCTGTAAGGCTTTCCTAGAAAACAAAAAGCATACAAAAAACACAGTAAAATAAACAGCTCTAATCAAATGAAATGTTTCACGATGAACAAAAAGTTCAAAAGAAGAACATTTGTTTGAAATAGAAATCTTTTGTAACATTATAAAAATCTTTACTGTCACTTTTGATCAATTTAATGCATCACTGGTAAATAAAAGTACCAATTTATTTACAATATATATATATATATATATATATTCTTTTTTTATGGTAGTGTATATGTCTCAACAAATTAAATTCAAATTTTCAAATCAAAATGCATTAGGCAAAATAGAGAACAAAACATACAGCTCCCATCCAGGACACTATATAAATCAAATTTGTGCCTATAACACAACAAATACAGTGGTATTACTGCCATGCTTTTGTGAGAAGCAATATTCATTAGTCAATTTCTCCTGACTTACTGTGTGCTCTGTAGGACGGTCTGCGCAAGCACAGGGTTGGTTTCCATGGAAGCGGTGACCAGAGACGTGAGGAGCGACAGATACCATATAGCGGAGGCATCGGATACTGAAACTTCTTTACTCTTGGTAATCTGGTAGCCCATTGTCTTCAGACCATGAATACGTGTGTCACAGCCATCGCTAAGGCAGCGTTTAATGTTTATCTGAATATCTGAGAGACAAAAGGAAGATCAGCATAAGGGCTTTTTGACTCCTAACATTCATGTTGATAGGACTAGAGTAGTATATACGTGGAATAAACAGAAATCACAGTCTCACTTTATATTACACTTACAGCATGCAACTTCTGTGCACATATATACTATCGTTCAAAAGTTTGGAGGATAGTACGATTTTTTTTAAAGATGTTAATACTTACATTCAATAAGGATGCATGAAATTGCTCAAAAGTGACTGTAAAGACATTCATAATATAACAAAAGGTTTCTATTTCAAATAAATGTGGCTCCCTTTCAAGAATCTTGAAAAAAATGTATTACAATTTCCACAAAAATATTAAGCAGAACAACATATTTCAACACTGATAATAAGAAATGTTTGTTGAGCAGCAAATCTGCAAATTAGTATGATTTCTGAAGGATCATGTGACACTGAAGAGTGAAGTAATTAATGGCTGCTGAAAAATCAGCTTTGCCCTCACAGGAATAAATGACATTATAAAATATATTAAAACAGAAAACAATTCTTTTAAATTGTAGTAATATTTCACAACATTACCAGTTTTACTGTATTTTTGTTATCAAATAAATGCAGCCATGGTGACCATAAGAGACTCCTTTCAAAAACCCCAAACTTTTGAATAGTAGTGTATAAATTCAAACTTCAAACAGAAGATTCTGTTATACAAGTGTATGCTCACAAGGATGGCTGATGTTGCCGTTATCCAGTAGCGGTACATAACCCGTGACATTACTGGGGATCCTCACATCTCTGATCTCCTGCAGGGAGCGCCGGTTCTTTCCTACAGCTATAGACACCAGCTGCGGCATGTAGCTGTGGTCATTAGAAGCTACCGCAATGGCCAGGCGTCTCAAAACTATGTCTGGCTTCAGCTTTAACCTGTGAAAGTGATGGGGGTAATATTTAACTAGTTATTTAGTGAAGGTAATAAAATGTGTTACATCATCAGGTCTATTTTAATTCTATGAAAATGCACAAATGAAATGGGCAGCTTGCCTTATCCAGTGTGAGCGAGCGCTACCGTCCGACTGCCAGAAAGACACGGTCTCACCATTGGTCATCTTGTTGATATCTGCACTATTGGACGAAGCCTCGATGAAGCTGTAGCACTGGGTGACCACCTTCACTTTATCCACATCTGGGTCATGATTGAGCTCAGCTCTGTACTGGATGTCTAGATCTGAGAGGATAGTCAGTAGAATATGCAAAGGAGATGGAGAAAAATGTTCTCATATTTCTATATAGTTCTACATATAAGAGGTCACTGTACTATAAAAAAACATCCTGTAAGTTTCAGAACTCAAAAGTTTGTCGTTTATCCAAACAGCTTATATTGAAGCCAGTCTGCCAAAACAACAGCTTGTAGAATGTGCCACTCTATGGTGTAATAGTGTGGCTAAACACCGTCTTCGCAGAAGAATATCAATGCCTGCTTCTACATCACTGCCTGCTTAGCCCCGCCCACCGATTTGCACATATAGTAGGTAAATAACGAAAGGGGCAAATGCACATCTACGCAGAAACCAAACTATAAAGATGCTCTGAATACAACAAGACGCTGTGCAGTGGCAAATTGTGGAAAAACACAGTCTTTGCATTGCCTTCCTTCTGATCCCAATGTTAGGAAAGAGTGGATGAACTTTATTTTTAATGAAGATCCAGACCACATCAGTAAGAACTCGGTCCTTTGTTCACTTCATTTTACAGCAGATTCATTTACAAACAAGGCACACTTTGACGCAGAATTTTCAGATAGATTGAAACTAAAAGACGATGCTGTGCCGACTATATTGGATCCGACAGTATTGGCGCAACACACAGGTGTGAGTAACTGCTTTTATTACTACTGCTTGGTCTGTTATAACAGTTTGTTTGATATGTACGGAGTATTTACCGTTTTTAACCTAAATCACAGCAGCGTTCACAGGAACCAGGGTGATTCTCACTTCTGGATTGCCTTACAAAAATATATCATCCCTGCAGCACTATATAATAATTGTTATTACCACTCTGCCCAATAACCACCATTCACCTTTCTCCTTCTGCAGCAGGTAATCCAGGAAGTCCTGCACTACAGATGACCTCATGGTGCAGATGCTGTTGTAGCCTTCCAGCACAGGGAATGGGATTGCGCTGCTGGGGATGCGATTCCGGTGCAAGAATTTCAGGATTTTGGAAGCATGTGCTTTGAGACGGTCCTTGGACTTGGAGAAGATATCCACAAACCCTGGATGAGCATGAACGGTAAAAGAGGACAACAACTGGGTCAAACAACGAGAATCATTTGCATAGTTACCTGGCATGGTCAACTTCAAACATCTGAGCTTGTGTCGCCATTGCATTCAAATAAACAAGAACGTTCATGTCTGCTTCCCCACCTGGAGTCAAAGAGCACACCTGAAGCTGCCTGATCACATGACTGAGTTCTCCCTGCAGGTTGGCTCCATTGGAGTTTTTCAGTGCCATGAGCATGCTCTCCACATCAACAATCCCATCACCCTCAGCATCAAACTGACCATAGGCCTAAAGAGCACAAATGGAAGAGATTTTTTTTTCTGTCTGTACGTTCTGTGACACAAATATTAGGCTGAGGTATCACACAAAAGAGAAGGCAAACAGAAAACAAAAGGAGGACAAGATCAACTAGTATCTCTAGATCTCTCAAACCAGTTGTCCATTTCACCTACATAAACACACTCGAGTCAGCATGTGAATCATTTGTAAAGCAAATGAAAGTGAGTCATGTTTACATCAGTATAGCCACCTCCAGAAAGCACCACACTAACAAAATGCACCAGTGCAACAACGATTTTGGATATGTCTGAAAATACCATGTAAATAACACAGTACATGAATTAAGTAATCATTTAACACCAAGATACAGGTGCATCTCAATAAATTAGAATGTCATGGAAAAATTGTGAAACTCGTGTATTAAATAAATTCAATGCACACAGACTGAAGTAGTTGAAGTCTTTGGTTCTTTTAATTGTGATAATTCTGGCTCACATTTAACAAAAACCCACCAACTCACTATCTCAACAAATTAGAATACTTCATAAGACCAATAAAAAAACATTTTTAATGAATTGTTGGCCTTCTGGAAAGTATGTTCATTTACTGTCCATGTACTCAATTCTTGGTAGGGGCTCCTTTTGTTTTAATTACTGCCTCAATTCGGCGTGGCATGGAGGTGATCAGTTTGTGGCACTGCTGATGTGGTATGGAAGCCCAGGTTTCTTTGACAGTGGCCTTCAGCTCATCTGCATTTTTTGGTCTCTTGTTTCTCATTTTCCTCTTGACAATACCCCATAGATTCTCTATGGGGTTCAGGTCTGGTGAGTTTGCTGGCCAGTCAAGCACACCAACACCATGGTCATTTAACCAACCTTTGGTGCTTTTGGCAGTGTGGGTAGGTGCCAAATCCTGCTGGAAAATGAAATCAGCATCTTCAAAAAGCTGGTCAGCAGAAGGAAGCATGAAGTGCTCCAAAATTTCTTGGTAAATGGGTGCAGTGACTTTGGTTTTCAAAAAACAAAATGAACTAACACCAGCAGATGACATTGCAACCCAAATATTCACAGACTGTGGAAACTTGGGCTATGAGCTTCTCCACCCTTCCTCCAGACTCTAAGACCTTGGTTTCCAAATGAAATACAAAACGTGCTCTCATCTGAAAAGAGGAATTTGGACCACTGGGCAACAGTCCAGTTCTTCTCCTCCTTAGCCCAGGTAAGATGAAAAGTACCACACTATAAACAATGGATACGTGACTGAACTATTTTACTTTTGTAAGGAAGTAAAACTTGGCTCGTCACCGCACACTGAGCCAATCCCAGAAAAATAACACATTTATGCTCCAATATCAATTACTCTGGATAGGATTTAAATGTAATCAGGGTTGGGGGAAGTGGGGACATTGATTATGGCCCCTGTGATTATGGATGCCCACTAAAGTTCTCTACGATTTGTATATAGCTTTAACAAAAATTAAATCTGTCAGTCACAAATCTAACTTTTAAAAAAAGATTTATACAGCTGAGGTTTTACTGCCAATTTGTATATGTAAAATAAACAGAAAAACATTTAGTTTGCTTATAAAAATTGGAAATCAATAGTCAGAAGTTCAACTGTAGAAATCTGTGTCAAAAGGTAATTTGTTATTGCCAAATTTAATTTGCTAAAGCATTTCTTATAGCCTAACCTTTTTATTTACAAGTACAGCACAGCAAGACCTATTCTATACTGGCACTAGATGAGTCTGACTATTCGGCGGTCAATAGTAGTCAGTGTAATCAATCAAACCCTATATCTACCAATCAAAAAGAAAGACAAAGCAAATCTAATACGACCGTCCTATGATGTGCTGAAATGCAGTCAAGATTGAAAGTGAACTAGGTGGGGACAGCCAATAAACAGCCTTTATCAAAGGTGTGATACAAAGATAGAGATTACACAATGTAACCACTCAGAGTATAGAGCAAGCTAAGTGGTCAATTACACAACTTTGAGTTGTTTGTCAGCTAAATACTGCTTATTTACTAGTAAGTCACTTAGGTGATAGGGACGTTTTGCTGAAGTGCACTATAGTGAGTGTTCATGAAACACCCTTCTTTGGTCTTGAACATGCAAACTCTCAGTTATCAGCCAAGGCCTGGCTTGAACCGCTGTGCTACAGCAGGTCATTGCTCATCTGAGTGACATGTCTGATCACCTCCTCGCACTCATCTCTGGGCGCGTCTCTGCTCTCCAGCATCTCACAGAACTGCTCCAGAGTGACGGACTCCTCTCCGCGGCTCAGCCGCTCCTCCAGCCAGCGGACCAGAGCGCTCTCGTTGCGCGCCAGCACCGACTCCGAAATGGCGACCCATGAGTCGCTCATACGGGCCGCTGCCTCTCGCAGCTTCACCTGCTCCAGCAGAGCTTCAGGAGTGGGGAGTCCATAGCTCGGGGCCGGCGGGTTCGCCGAACCTCTTCCGCTTCTCCCCGGACCGGAGCCTGCAGCTGTTCCTGCTCCTCCTCCACCTCCACCTCCACCTCCACCACCACCACCACCACCACCTCCTCCTCCTCCGTTGCCGGTTCTGGTGCCTGTGGCCGCAGAGGCCGGGCTGCCCTCAGCGAACACGGGACTCTCCGTTTCTACGTCCTCATCGTCGCCGCTCCCGGCGCCACAGCCGCCCTCCGCGTTCCCCATGGTGTTCTGCGGCCTCGGGCTCTCTTCCGATCGCCTTCAGCCCAGGTTTCAAGCTAAGTTTTAGTGTCAGGGTTGATTAGTGCAGGGTGCTTTTCCAGTCAGTGCGCTCCTCCGCTGTCACTACCGCATTGACGGGCTCCGCCAATTGACGTCATGTTTGTCAGCAAAAAACTTTGGTCCCTTCCGTGAGCTCAGCGACGCCCGCTGCGCTGTAAACACGCCCCCTAGCGTATTACCTCCAGTATTCGGCAATCATTCTTTTTTTATTTATTTTTTGCTTAATGTACATAACAAGACAGGGAACAACCAATTTGAGAAATATAAGCTTATTGATTTTTTTTGTTTAAAGGTTGACTTATATATTAATTTATATATATAAAAAAAAATTATTATTATTATTTTTTTTTTTGCTTAATGTACATAAGACAGGGAACAACCAACATTGTAAGACTCAACAAGACTAATAAATAGAATTTGAGAAATATAAGCTTATTGGTTTTTTTGTTTAAAGGTTGACTTACATATTAATTTATATATATATAAATCCACACTCCAGATCAGTGGGTGGCGGTAATGCACCCGAAAGCTGTTTGCCAACCGCCAATAAAAACAAAAGAAGAAGAAGAAAAAAAATTAAATAAACATAAATAAACACAAGGAGCAAGGATGAAAACAAAGATGTAGTCGATGTAGACATTATAAAGAAAAAAAGATACTAAAGTAATAAATATTTTGATAAAGAGAAGCATAATTTTCAGATTTTCTATTATGTTTTTTGAAGCTCTGAAACATTTTAGCAAACTCACATAAAAAATATATTGAAGGAGAGCTTAAATTTTTTCCATTTACAAGTATGGATATGATATTTACCCATCAACAAAACAAAATGTACAACATCAGAGAAGGATGAATTTAAATCGCACTTTAAAAAAAAGGACATCTTGGGTTATAGGAGGAATTGTCTCCATTTTTACTGACAACCAGCTATGTATATCGAACCAAAACTTAGAAGTAGCCTCACAGTAAAAGAAAAGGTGATCAAGTGTTTCAGGAAAAGAAGAACAGAAACCACAAGCATCCACCTCGAAATGAAATAGTTTGTGTATAAAGTCACTAGCTGGGTAAATCCTAAACATCATTTTGTAATGAGTCTCCTTGACCTTTGGAGCAACTAGGTATGCCATATAACGGGTAAAAGCTTTGTCCTTTACTGAGGTTTTAACATCTCCCAGAAAATAACACTGATAAACACCAGTGATAATACATTTAAGTTCTTTGTAAATAAGTTTGTTATTACACTTACCGTCTAAAAGGTTACATATTTTCAAAGAGGGAAGAGAAACTACAGGTCTAGATAAAAGATTAGAAAAACTGCTTTGGATTATTCTTAACAATCCAGTGGGTATAGCATTGCATACCTTATTATAACCTATTTTAATTCTAACTCTGTATTTGTTAATGAAATCATTATAAGATAGGAAAAAGCCATTATCATCTAATAAATCATGAATAAAAATAATGCCTTGTCTATACCAGCAAATCATTCTTTTTGAATTATATTTTTTGTCATTTTTTAATAAATAAATGCTCATATTTGAAGCTGATGTTCAGTGATTATATCAATTTGTAGGTAACCTGGAAAGCTAATTCTTAATATCAAAAATTGCTAAACAAATGTTGTTTTAATAACAAAGTTAAAGGAGTAGCCAACAAAATACTACAGGATTTATTATGCATGTTTTGGAAAGCTGAACATTTCATATGCGTGTCAATTCTGTTGACTGGAAAAGGCATTTGTTTTATAATTGAATTCAGATTGTATTTAAGATTTTTTTGGGGAAAGATTTATAAAATATATTAAAAGAAAACGGGTGTGTGTGATTTGTGTATTTGTATGTGATTTATTTATTTATTAATTATTTTTTTTCCAGAATCACATTTTGGAATATGAAGAATAATACAATGACAATATTACAATTGCTTATTTTATTAGAAAAATACCACATAAAAAGAATGGACTTTTTGAAAACCAAGTTTCTTACCTCTTATAACTTAGAAATATACGTAAACTGAAAACAAGCAAACAAATAAATAAACTAAAAACTGTAAACAAGTAATATGTTAAATAGCACTGAAATGTTGGCCATTTTTTGTTGTTAATAATGTGACTATGTATACATCTTGTTCTTGTGGTACTGAACGTAAAAAAAAAGTATTTCAAACACTTGAAATGTCAGTATATTCAGTGAAATATTTTAAGATTTATCATACAAAATCTCATGCATTTACTAATAGAATGTCATAGTCTTATTCTGAGAGTAACCAGGCTATACCTTGACAGTTTAGAGACTCTTTCAATTAGAAGGCCACCATCACCATCACAAATCACATTTGTTTGAATTCTGTGTAGTGTGTAGGCCTACTTTATTTGTAAATTTGTCTGCGTGTACATTTTAACTCATTTTTTTTCTTTCGGTTGTTATCTATAGTGTTGATTAATGTTCACTGAATCAAAAAAAACAAAAAACTTTCAGCTATAAAAAAACGTATATTGTCTCAATAGATTTGCGCATGCGCATTCACATACCCGGAAACATGATGATGTGACATACCGATGTGTTGTGCGGTACGGAATGCTTCTTATTTTAAATGCTGACTTCTTGACATTTCGTCCTCGTCATTATACACTGTATGCACAATGCTGAAATATTTAGTAGCACTTATTTCAATGGTCCTGGCCGTATGGACCGTGCCGGAGTGGCTCACATTCCCGATCTATGGCAGTGTTGTGAATGTGCTGGAGCCGTGGCTGCGGCAGCAGGTCACTGATGTGCCAGCATCTGCTCCGGGGCGCATGCTGACCGAAGATGAGCTGTATTTATACAACGGAGAAGAGGACAGTAAAGGATTGTACCTGGCGATCTTAGGACAGGTGTTTGACGTTGAAAAGGGGCGGAAACATTACGGCCCTGGCGGCGGTTATCATTTCTTTACAGGTTAGTTCACTATGCAATTTACAGGCCACTGAGTGATGCGAACGCATAGAGATCTGTGAAATCTGTGTGTTGTTTGTGCAGGGAAAGACGCATCAAAAGCATTTATTACAGGCGATTTCACAGAGGCTGGTTTAACTAGCGATGTCTCGGATTTCACTGACTCCCAGATTGTGGCTCTTTATGACTGGCTGTCATTTTATCAGAAGGACTACACTCCAGTAGGTGGGTACCAAATGACGTTCGATGACCATTTTATTACCATTTCTTTCAGAATTTTATATTCATAAATTTGAAAGAAAATACATTTTATTTTTAGTAAAGGTGTTGAATTATTTAAAGCACCTAAATAGCCTGTAAGACTCTTCCATGGTGTAATAATTGCAATGAATGCACTTTAGTTTATTGTAACCTTCTTAGAATATTTTGTATGTTGTCTTTATGCATGTAAATATTATTATTAAAAAATAAAAATGTATAATTATATCATGCAAATCATGACAGATTTTTAATTTCAAGGTGACCTGTCCCTTTAAGGTGTCTGTCTGTTGGCCCTTGTGCTGCAGGTAAACTGATAGGCCGATTCTACACAGAAACCGGGCAGCCCACTGATGCTTTGTTACATGTCGAGGCTTTCTTGACTGAAGGGTTGAAGAAAAAGGCCCAGGCTCAGAGTGAGATGCAGCTGTACCCGGCCTGTAACTCGGAGTGGAGCGAAGCCAGTGGGGGACGGGTATGGTGCTCTACAATGAGGTAATTTTTTGACCTTTTTAATCTGTTAATGCTTTGGCCAAACATTTGATAAGGTTCCTAAAAAATTTAACAACTTTAAATTTTTTTTTGTAGTGGTGGCATTCACAGGGACTGGGTTGGAGTACCCAGAATGCTTTTCTCCCCTGGATCTGGCCACTCCCGATGTGTGTGCATCCGACTGTCAGATCCTGTTCACACTGAGAACCGAAACCTCAGAGAGTACAAAGACTGTCCTCCTCATGCAGAGTCCTGTCGTATCACTAAAGACTGAGCTTCAAGTATTCATCACACTATAAGAGCCACTGTATTTCATTTGACACATTTTTCATAGAAATGTTTTTGTTGGGTTTATTGTAGCTGGCACATTCCAAGTACCTGATGCTGCTTGTTATTTATGTAGTTATGTTTCTAATTGAATTAATTTCATTGCAGTTTGTGGCCAAGTATATTACTTGTGCCATAAAATCAAGATTGTTTAATAAAAGACAATTTTATAGATTTTTTTTCAATCGTCCTTTATGTAAAGTTGTCCTCCCTTTCTTGAAAAGGATAGTAGAGGTGGCGACAGGCTAAATATCTGAGCATACAGATACCATACAATGTGCAGAAAGATTAAACAGAGGCCAAATTGTAGGTTTGTCACATAGACAAAAAAGCACAACCTGCATTAAGTACAAAACAGTTGTAGTGGTCAAAAATATTATACATTTATCTGTACAATTTAACAATACCAATAACAGACTGTGGACTTGGTCCTCCTCCCTCAGAAATATGATCAGAAATGTAAAAAAGAAGAACTTTGATAAAGTGCACCTGTTAAGCATGGGCATGAAAAAGCACTTAAAATATGATAGGTGATAACATAATGTGACGCGCTACGCCACCGAGAAGACTTTTGAAAACAACGACCAAGCGAGCAGCTCCCCCACCGCTAGCTTGCGGGGCAAACGTTAACTGGAATGTATCCTTTGGTGATCAGAAATTAATAAAATGAAATTATGATGCAATGAATATTACCAACAGGCTACAAATGATGTCATGCATATGCATAGTAAGCATGTCAGAATTCTGCACCTGTCTGGCTTAATAGAATCACAAGAAATGATTTGAAATCAGAACACTTCCACATCTGAAGTGTTTCTCAAATTTTAGTATTGTAAACTAATGGATCGGTTAAAATAAAGCCCACTGAATATGCAGATTCATAAATGATTAAGTGACCATGTTACTAATAACATACCATTAACCTAGCAAGGAATATTTCTCCCATCTCTCTCTTAGTGTTTTGATTTGAACTCCTTCCAGAGAGGTTAAAATGTGTTCAAAACCTCAATACAACAACTGAAAGACCTTGCACAGTATGATTAAGGCTTCACACTACTTAAAAAATGACTAACTTTCTTTCACAGGTCCCTTCATATCCAGCAGCATTCAACACTAAACACACTTCCTTGAAATGTTCACAAGACACTATCTACTTCAAACTGGGGTAAATCAATCTGTAAA